AGTGATGTTTTCACTAGTGTGTTTCATCTTAATTGTATGAATTGTTGTTGTTTTTTACCCTGTAATGAATCCTTTATATGTACATACTTTATATTTACATCTGGAGCGAGTCTTCTTTATGGAGGCCGCCATATTTTTTACCGTCGTCCAAACTTGACAAACTAAACACCTTCTGAGTTTTTATGAACTGAAGGTTAAAACAGGTTCTCATGCTTGGAAGGGTAGGGTGAGGTGAGAGGTATTCTGCTGCAATTTGAAACTTTACCACTAGATATTTCCAAATTCTACACACTGAACCTTTAAGACGGGGTTGAAGGTAATTAATAAAAGACAAAGGTCAGATTAGAGTGCCAATTTAAAACCCAAGCAACACAGATTGATCTTGTGACCATCTGGTTGGGTCAGTGGACTCATTAAAAGTAGCTCCCCTGTGATCAGCTAGTAAAATACAACTATGATGCATCAAAATACAGTAAACAATGTAATAATACTAATGTAGAATAATACTGTGTCTGTCAACCTCAGGGGGATTTTGAATGAAGAAGTTTGGTTTGTTAAATAATGGATCCAAACAGTTCTTCAATATTTGCTCCTCCACTCAGTCAACAACACAAACTCTTGGACACAATATCAGCTTCCTACATCTAAGACATTTATTTTACTAGAAGTTTGAACAGATTTATAAAAGTACCTGACTGATCCAAACTAAAACTGACCCTACAACGAAAAGACGACAATCTGAAAACAGAAATGGGGACAATAGAATTTGGTTTCCTGTTCAACAAGGCCTCTGACCAGGAGGACGGTCTATTCCTGTTCCAAACAGACTTCAAACATTTGAATTCAGCTAAACTTGTCAGTGAGGCCTCGCTCTGTCCTCGCCCTCTGGTGGAATCAACTCCCCACTGAAGTCAGGACAGCAGGTTCACAGCTCATCATCTGCCTTAGGCTGAAAAATTCAGACCTCAAGTCAACATCCCAGGCTGGAACTCTCTGATGCTCCATTTCTCAGGAAAAGAAAAATATAACAAAATAAAGAATTAAAGAATCAAAAAGTGTTTTTCAAGTTTGAGGGTTTTGATTTACTTGCAAGTATTCACCTCTGAGAGAAACTATGATTTACTAAATAATTGATCTTAGCCAATACTTTTACTACCCCTGGTGACATCAGCTGTCTTAAAACTGTGTTAGGAAAGTACCATTTTGTATTTGTTGAATATTTCTGCTGGTGTATTTACTGCTAGACTTGTCTACTGTCTTTTAGATGTCTGAGTGCCCTGAATACCAACCAAATCTGGAGCTCTTGGACCCGGAGCATCACAGGAAACACCAGATCCAGTGAAATTCTCCTTCTCCTGTGCCTCTAACATCGATTTGAGTTGATCTTCATTCTTATATTACATTTATATTGCACATACATTACATTACTTTTACACTACCCCTGTCTACCAGGCCTCACAGCCTTATTTACTTTTGAATTTGTTTTACATTAAAACAAACAACATAACCTCTAGGTGGAGGCGATAGTTGAGGGATCGTTTAATTAAAGAATGGCAGAAAAAGTTATGTTCATGTTTAAAAGAAGTGAACAGTGGCAGTAGGGATGTTATTACAGTGATCTTGATATTGGTGTCATGCAGTATCAATCATGAGTCTAATGGTTTGCATACTTGTGTGCACACGAGCAATGTCTGCATGAGTCCATGGCACATGTCCATGTTTAATGGTCTTGGACAAGCTGTTGTCTGAAGTAAGGAATGCAGAGCAGAGAGAGACAAAAGATGTGGTGTTTACACTATAGTAATAATAAATATGTGGTTTAATATCAACATCATAGAAATATTAAACCAAAAAATATGATATAAATACTCTTGCTGTCACTGTTATTGTATATATATGTTACCAAAACAGTAAAATGCATTTAATACTGTATTTTATTGGGTACACTGTGATCCCTTCCACATAGAAATACTTGAAAAATTAAAAACGTTATATGTACATGCACATATATAATTCTAATTGCATTATATACTGTATGTTCTTGGGTGCACTGTGATCCCTTCCCCATGCGTAACAAAAGGGAAAATTGTATATACACACTCACATATCCACTTTTGAATGCATTTAATACGGTATGTTCTTGGGTCCACTGTAATCCCTTCCCTGTAAAATACCTGAGCAGTGTGCCACTCATGTAACCTGGCTGCAGCCTCAGAAACAAGAGGCCCCTTGTAACCTAATCGATCGCCGAGCAGAGGCAGACTGGGTCCTCGCTCTGTCTGGATACGATTCTCTGTGTGTCACACCAACTTCCCAGAATAGCCACTCGAGCGGGCGGGCTTGTCTTCTGCGCTGCGCTGCTCTGGAGGAGATGGAGGAGGAAGTCAGCGGTGGATTTAACAACTGTTGCTTTTGTCGCTGCTGCGGAACCAAACTACCTTTCAGCCGGCGCTGCGTGGCGCACGCCGGGCTGGAATGAAGTCTATTCCAGGGCGAGACATTCAGTCTGGATCAATGTGCAAGTTGGAGGGAATACTCAAACTCCTGCGTGTTTAAGGTAAATGATAATAACAATAGAGGGGTGGGAGCGAAAGACAGACACGTGCATGAATCCGTTTCCTGTATTAACTGAGCCATTCTGCTTTATGTGGCCGTTCAGCACCGCTCTGCTGTGAACAGGCTTCACCGACGCTTCAGACTTTGCTGGGGGCGCATGTCTGCAGCAGCAGCAGCAGACGATGGAGCGTCTGTGTGATGAATGGAAAAGCCAGACGGGCTCTGCTGTAGACTGCAGTGATCGGATAACCTGTTGAATTGCAGCTGTCAGTCAGTACCGAGCCATGCAAGCAACACAGACCGCAACAAACACTGCACTTAATGCCAGGAGCAGCGCGTTGGCACAATAGCCTCGCAAAAAGTCGCATTTTTTTTGCAGCTGGTGGTTATTTGTTTGCAGATATGCTGCTGTTGTCTGTCAGGTTAGCGCTCCCTGACGTCCCCCCTGCTTCATCTGTCTCTAGATGTACACGATTGGACCTTATTTCTGCCGCTGATACTAATATTAACCTTAAAGCCATGGTGGACACAGAGCGAAGTGGTGTCAAAGGTGGCAGGCCTATCAGTGGGGGGGGTGTTTTCGTCTTAAAATGTCTGATCTGACAATTAACATTTAGTTGTATAAAGCTACATGCATTTTAAAGGTGGTGGCCATGCAGCAGTTTACGCACGGTTTAATTTGCCGTTCCAACACATTCATGTCCCCCAATATCCCCGCAGCAGCAGCAGCAGTGGCAGCGCGTAATAGGCTCAGTTTGTACAGGACCTTGAGTCACATCTCCATGTTAAAAAAAAAAAAAGCTTTTCAAACTGCCTGCCTACGGATTTCCAGTCCCTCGACTGTTGAGAGTAAAGCTTGGCTGCTCCCTGCCGCTATGGCTAATTCCTTAGGAACCGGTGGATCCAGTTTGATCCATCCCTCTCTTTCTTTCTTTGCCTTACCAACCTGTTGAGTCGTCCCCCCTCAGTGCTCCTACTGCAAAAAGAAAGACAGAAAAGTTGAATGTGAGAGGCTCAGGAGGTGGTTGCGTGACTCCTGGTGAGATAGCACCAGTGTGAGTAGAGTGAGTGCACAGGTCGGTGGGACAGTATCGGTTAGAACGTGGAAACTCGACGGGACGCGTCTTTTACGCAGCGACAGCCACCTGTAGGACTCGGTGGATGCGCTCCTCCGAAACCTTCTTCTGCTTTTCTTAACTTGCTTTCCACATCTTTTTTCTGTGGACCGTTGTTGAAACTTGTTGACTTTAGACATTTTTTTTTCTTCCATAGTGTGATATTACTGGACGGAATAAGTCATTTTGACTTTTTCGTCTCTTTAAGGGAGGTGGAGACAACTTAACCACCCCCTCCCTTCGTCCTGGACTGAAATCACCGACTGTCTTTGCACAGGGGAGACACTTGAAGGTAATTATGTCAATCCAGCATTAAATGACATGTTACTTTCTTGTTTAGTTTTGTGTTTGGTTTGATTTCATTTATGATACAGTTCTGCATGGTCAAAGTTGTCTACATGTAGCTGCTGAGGAGGAGGGAGGCTAATTTAAGAACTCTTAAATAGTCTGAGATAACTATAATCTTAAATACTCAGTAAACTGCTATAAGAAAATAGTTGAACAAAATAAGGATGTGGGACATTTGGCCTTTATATGTTATTTTCCTCCCAATGATGAAAGGGTTAAGTGTCATGTTCTTCAAGGAAGCCAGCACTTGCTCTGTGGTACATTACGAATTAGCTATGTTATTTAACAGAATATACATAATATTAAAAAATAACTTTGACACAAGTCTTGCTCTTCCAAATTCATTTATTGTAACACAGTGTCTTTATGTCTGGGCTTTAACTGATTTTCTATTCAACAATAACAAAGGGTTTGAATGATAAAGATGGATTTAAACTCATAAAAATACCTAAATTACAGCTTAAAAGTAATGTACAAGTTATCAGCAACCTACAAGGTGACAGTGGTAACCATATCTTTTCAACATGCTAGTAAATGTTCAAACAAACATGAAGTTTAAAATCGAGGTGCGTGTTTAAGTTGATCTCTACACAGCTGAATGCCTTTTGTTAATGTTATTTGCTGCAGGGACTGGTCAGAACTTTAGTGATATAATTGTATCCCTGAGGCAGCACAGCTATTGATCTGTAATGATAGGGTGTGTGTAGATTTCATGTATTTTGTCTGTTTTTAATGGGAAAACTTTGGCTGAAATTATCTTTCACATATTGTCTGCATGAATGAAATTTGCAATTGTCTCATTTAAAATTAAATAATTGTGGAACGGCAACATAAAGTAATTGTATAACAACTTCTACACAGACAAGAATGTACTTTCCACAGAGAATATGAAGTGGCTGATCACAAACTTAAAATAGCTTAGAGAGTAGCATGCTATATACGAGACACAGCACAGACCAGTGCCTCTTTTGTAGAACCCTCAGATTCATGCATCTACAGCTGCATAGCTGCTATAATATTCATGTGATTTTAAAGTTATTAATATTTTTCAGATTAATGGTGTTTATTTGAATACTTAATGAAGGTCAATCCTGTATCTGCACACCGTTGTTTACACATACCTCAGGCTCTATAGCTTTTCAAATGCACACATTCAGTTAAAGAATTCAAATTAAAAGCATGACATATATGCATCTGTGCAAAAAAGGCCTTTTTGTCACAGAAACTTAAAGGTCACATTCTTTTTGTTCCCTGCAGGACTCCCAAAGCACTTGAGATGGAGACTCCCGATGGCCACTGTGCGAGTAAGTCCTCGTATTGCTCACAGATTACAATCAATTCACGCTGACACTCACTGACCCACAATTTATGACCAAGGACAGAGTTTATTATCAAATGTGTCTGCGCTTTGTTGTTCTGATGATAATGATGATTGTGATGACAATGACTGAGTCTGTGTGTAATTGTATTACTCTGGCTTTAGTGTTCCTAACTTACTTTGACTTTGGCATTGTTTTCAACTTTTTGACATTAGGATGATACAAAAAACAACATTTATACAATCACAACAAAATCGAGGGATTTTCCCCTGGTGCAGTCTTTTTCCTGTTCAACCCTTAAAAGATGCATTTGCCACTTCCTGTTGAATGCAGCATATACTGGATATGCACTTTGTGGTGCTCCATTGCCCTTTGCTGGTTTCCTTTGGGCTGCTCTCTTAAACATAGCACCAGCCCCCCCATACATACTTTACTTCATCTTTATAACAGGTAGCGGGTTGTTGATGACACCATGACTTTTAGGTCTCCATTGGGGGTTTGTTGTTGAAGGAACACTTGGCAGGCGGGGTAGGGGTGTTGGCGGAGGAAGAAATGGAAGCTTTGCCTCTCCCTGTCAATCTGTGGGCAGGTTCTGAAATGATGGAACAAGGAGTTGGTTCAGTCAGTGTGAAACTGCGGAAAACATATCTTACATCTTTGTTGAGTGACATTTGAATTCTATTTGGTGTCACGTATTACTATGTGTATAGTACGATATGTTCAATACACTTGCAAGGCACTGATAACTGAGAACATTTTTTGTAGGTCATATTCTTGAACCATCTTCCACACTCACTACTGGACCCTACTTTACTATAATCTACTTGCCCCTCTTACATGCTAACATGTTCCTCTACGCAGCATCATAGATCACATGAATATGCATAGCAATAGAATCCTTGGGTCTCTTTAAACACAACTAAGCTCTTGTACATAAATTGTACTAATGTTTGATAGTATATATAAGACAGTGAGATAGTATAAGTGGTGTGTTTTAAAAAAGGACGTATACATTTGATGGAAAACGTTTGTTGAAACTGGTCATTTTATGGCTCAAGTTTGTTTAAAACTAACTCAAAGAGTAAGTGGAGTGTAATTCTTCCTGGAAGGCAACAATTGGTAATAAAATATTCAAATTGATCAAACTGTTTTATCACACCTCAGTTTTTTTCCCATTTAAAAACCAGGAATCCTTACATCAACTTAATTTTATCTCAATTCTTGTTTCATTCAGTAGCTGAACTGAGGGTTCGTCCATTCACTGCTGCAGACGTTCCCACATATCTGTTGCACTTGTAGTTTGATTTGCTTTCACACATTTGTTCAGTTTTATTTCCAAACTAGACTCAAGTCTCTTCCATCATGTGAAGTTTGGTTGTTTTCTTCTAAATTCTTGGGTCTTAATGTTGCTGTAGGATGAACGCCTGATCAACCAGTCCGTCTTCCTTTGTTGCTTGCCTTTTTTATCACCATTCTAATAGCAACGTGCATTACTACTTCCTGCAGTACAGCATTGTCCCACTAATGCATCAGAGGGTGTAGTTTGTTCCAACACTGTCTTTGTAAGCCGTCAACAACACTTGCAGACATTTTTTGGATTAACTGTGAAAGCTTAATTTACCTTTAGTTACACAAATACACACACACTAATGCATAAAAACGATTATTGGTCAATGTTATATGATAGGATAACGTGTGTATAAATTATATTGGATGATATTTTTTGCAGTTTGAATATCTGATTAGCTTACAGCATTGTATATATCTTCATAAATTGTTGAACCACAACAACCTGGATATTGCACTGACATAATCTGAGGCCAATAAATGCACTGTGGTTGGCTTTGAAGCAGGTACCAGCTATGTTATAATATAATATAATAATTTAAATCTGCCTTTCTTCTTAAATAAACACTCACTATTATTAGTAACTGCAGGAGCTGTCTTTGACATTCGCTCTCTCTTCCAACAATAACAACACATCACCCTTCTCCATCACATCACGCACCATGATGATGTATCTCACGTGCAGTTATTCTCTCATGTAGATTATTCTTCTCTCTCACATTTTATCAACAGGCACATTTTCTATATGTATCACCTCTGTTCAATCTAATTTTAAGCACACTCACGTCCCTATTTTAAATAATTCAAATGTTACTCATTCCATTCCCCGTCAGCAAAGTGTTAAATGCGTGAATAACAATGTTGAGGATGATTCAATTTATCTTATTACTACCCAAGAAGAATTTGATAACTTGATCATTGTTGTTTCCTTGTTACTCAAATGTTAAATTCAAGTCTCAAGCCTCAGTGGTATGAACATAATTAAGTACAGTTTTTCCAAACAAGTTTAACAGTGTAAAAAGTTCATTAAACATGAAAAATCTCCAATAGTGCATCAGTAATACACTTAATATTATGCTATTATGCTCAAAAGTCACTGCCATGACATTCTGAAGTAAATGATTGTATGTAATTGTCCACATAGTGATTGCTAATGTTGACAAACTGCTGGTAAATGGTGTATGAAATAGTAAGCTAGTTTAATTTCTGACTACAATCCCTAATTATACTGACATCTTAACAGCTTTGTCACTTGAGCTTATGCTAGTTTTACAAACTGATGAAACAACAAACCTCACACCTGCAAATCCTGAAAGTGCCAATTCAGAGTTTTGAAGCTGATGCCCTTTCAAATATTTGAATTGCTTGCAGGGTTAATTGGGAGATACGACCTTCTGTTCTATCATCTAGTCATTAGTCACCTCGACTGCTACACTGCTAGTAGCAAAATAATTGTCCCACACTTACCTATTGCGATAAGATTGTTTACAATCAGAGACATCTTCAGATTTTCTTGTAAACAGTAAAAAAACGCAGTCTGTTCTGGTTTGATGCCCTGTTTATTGCTCTATTCGATGGTGGTGGCATTATAGTACACACAGGTGCAAACATATCAAAGCTAATGGTAGCTGACTGAACGGATAAAGCGAATTAAAAATAATGAGCTGCATGAGTCCTCCACATAATTGGCAAACTACTGAAAACCTTCTGACATTTTAACCCTGGCATAATGTCTGTTGAGTTCAGCCTCAGCTCATCAATGAAATCCATCGGCCTGGGGACAAAAATAATCACGTTTCCAGAGCTCTTTCTCAATAATCTGAAGGGAAACAATATCACCTTTGAAAGAAATCTATGCTATGTTCAAATCCCCTTATACAGTACACTACCATAAATTGCCTCAATTCACAAACTCCATTACTAGAGGATAGTTTCCTTCAAAGGCTTGTTCAACCAAACATGAATAGTGCACCCGTAGACAAAAAGTAAAGAGAGTGTCAACAGTTACATACAGTATATGAAGATAACATCATAAATAATGTAAGTATGACGTGTGTCACGGTTAAATGTCATGTAAGTGAGAGAATAGGACTGTGAACATCAGCAGGTGTGGAATTGTACAGATCAGATTATTACCATTCCAAGCATAATATAGGACACACACACACACACACACACACACACACACACAACACACACACACACACACACACACACACACACACAACACACACACACACACCACACACACACACACACACACACACACACACACACACGTAAAGACTACCACAAATGGAACACACCACGCTCTCCGGCTTATCAGCAGGTGCTTCTGTGGTTCTCCTTAAATAAGTTGTATATGTAAAACTGTTTCTAATGTTACTGTAAGTAGGTGAACAAACGCTCTTATTTGCTTAACTCTGTGTAGTTTTTATTTGCTGGGTCAGTGTGTTCTGAAACTATGTTTTGAGGAAGGTTCAGGGTTTGACAGGAAAAACCAGCTCCCATACAGTGTGTATCCAACAAGCCAGAAAGGAGGACCTTGTCACTGCGGAAAAAAAAAAAATCCAGTTCCGCTCACACCTTGACTTGGGCACTGTTCAGACATTTTTTGGCATCTTATTCATGTTCACCGCGTCTACAATCAGGCAAATGGAGCTTGACCTTGATTTATTTTGGTTACTTTCAGAGCCTTGTCAGAGCATATTATTTTTTCTGGAACCTAGATATCATTTATAATTGCAAGTGCTCTTTTTTTAATAAGTTGTCGGACCAGAAATTGAATGAACTCTTTTATAGATTCTTGAGAAAATGACTGTACCTTCAAAGGTATGCATTCATTTGGCATTAGTGATGAAGTCAGCATTTATTACACATACAACATTTGTTCCTTTCCATTCGTTGGAGCAGTGAATAATCTCAATTTGGTGTGTTGTTCAATGTACGCTTCCCCCGGTATGTCTCAACTGTTCAATATCCTGATCTTAGTGTTCAGACAAGATTGACTCAGCATGTGCAGGGCACCAATGCAAAACTTCAATCCAGTCAATTCAAGCACGTCTGTCAGTTCTTTTGTCGGTAAAAATGCTCGTACTTTACTATCTGTGTGGTTGCATTTGACCAGTATAAGCAATAGATGAACATCATTTAAATGTGTCTTCTTCTGTTTGCTAATGATTCCCTAAAGACTAAGACAGATGTCCTTTGATGTCCTCCATTGATGCCATTTTAATGACAAATAAGAACTGCTTTGGAAGATTTTTTTTTTATATTATATGGCGGTAGTGCACCTTGATGTTGGTTGCCATCTGCCAATAAACCAAATGAAGAAAAAGAAGAAGAGGAACATTTGTCAATATTTAACTAACATCTGAATCTGAATTTACCATGACTCTTTCTTTTTCTTTTTTTTAATAGTAGTGTTAAAATGCTTCATAATTGGTTGTTATTTGTGCAATTTGAACCCAGACAGCACAACAAAAATATTAGTTGCCTGAGACAGTTTAGCTGTGGTGCTGCTAGGCAGCTGTCTGCGCCTGTTACAGTAATGGAAAATCCTTCATGACAAATCTGGGCCACTCCTGTCTCCAAGACAGCATTGCCAAGGGATAGCCAGTGTCGGTCACCTGAGATTTCCTCCAACCCCAACCTGTGCAACCTGAGCCCAGACCGAGGGATTGTGTCATGGACATCGTCTCCCAGTATGCCCCACTCAGCGGGCCTGCCATCACAATGGAACAATACCACACAGGAGCTTGTCAACTTCAGCAGAGCTGTCACAACAAGAGGAGATCTGACACAGATTTCTTTATCATGTATGACGGATCACTGCAGACATATTCAGCACCTACAAATTGCAGTGAGGCACTTTTTGAAGCAGTTTTAGATGTAGCATGTAGCACAGACTTTAACATTTTAAAGAAACTTAATTTATAGAAATTTCTTCAGCTACAACTATAGCCACATAATTTAAAAGCACGACATGAAACAATTTTCATAGTTGTCAATATTCTTGAGGAAAACCTTTTAATTGTGCTGGTGGTGAATGAAGGCTCGCTGTGGTTCCTAAGGGATCTGACACCTGGGTCAGCAGGGGTGTTTGCCTGTTGCTGCTGTATTGTTCCATTGACCCTGACTGGGCTAGGGTGTAAGGGGATAAGGGATTGATTTGCTCTCCCTCTGAGTGGACACAAGGCTATCCATAGCCTGGGCTCTGTACAGCCTGATGAGAGGATGCAATCTGATCCACATCTGCTGGACATTACGATCCCATAGGTGAATGAAGACAGTTGTGTTAGTTGCCTTGTGCATTCCTAGTGTGACATCTATTAATACCATTCAGGTATAGAAGGAGACCTGAGAGGGATGAAATCATTCCTAATGTGACACAACAAAGCTTCTGTTTATTGTGTAAACTGTTGGCGTAGCTAGGAATTTAATTTACTTTAGTTCTTTTTCACTTTCTTTATCTGTAGTTTTCAGAAACCAATGTTTGTCACTTTCATCATTATTTTTCTTCATCCGTGTCTTCACTCCTGAAACCATATCATGGTATTCATGAGTCCTTGAGGTTTTTTTTCCACATATAGCAGCATTTTGTTGTATTGCAAACCACAGTATTGTACAACACATTGAAGAATACCTTGTTTTCTGTATGTCTCCCAGGTAATGGCCAATGCTCTCCTGGTAAGGAGAACTCAAGAGTTTTACCAGACATGTCAACACCTAATGGACAGACAGTTCCTCAGGGTCCCAATTCCCCCCGCGGTGAGTGCTCAATCAATAGAAACATGTTTATGTAGTGCAGCAACAGTTTGCACACACATACAGTTTCTCATTTGAACAACTTCTGTTGTGTTTACCACAGAATTAGATTGTGTTTCTTTGGTTTGCAGCAGAGTGGGGGACTGTCTCTGCGCCTCCTCAGGATGAGCAATTTTGAGTGCTTAAATATTCATCAGGATTGAGCAAATGAAAGTCAACAAAACAAAAAACAGGATCATTGTGTTTGGCTCTTCCTTATTTTACACAAGTTTATACAAGTTACACCTTGTGCAAATCTTTCTCAATAAAGCCTACCAGAGAAGGAATCAGATTACTGTTTCCCCTGAATATGAAGGTTGGCAATTTGAAATAAATTTTATTTATGTTAAATGCGTTTGCTTTAGTTGCATCAGGAGGTTTTACATGGGAAATGTGAGCCGATCACAAAACAGGTTGTCCTGATGGTTCTGTCAGTGGGTTGCATGGTAGCTTGCCTTTACTGAATGATCAATGCAAATAGATTTCTGTTTATAAGCACAATATTAGTCCAATTCAAGAAACCAGGAATGAAGTTGTCTCAAATAAGATAAATGTAATACTTGGTTCCCCTTCGCACAATTATCTGATGCCTTAGATTTGCTTTAGCTTTGTCACTGTGACGTCGTAAAGTAAGAAAAAGGGAAACTGAGTGAGACAATGGGTGACAACTGAGAAAACTGTTTCCCACAAGTTTAGAGGAACAGGGTGAAGGTTTTCACAGGGAGATACTATCCGCTGATAAGATCTGTTTTCATTATGGATGTTGCTTAAACATTTGAGGTTTTCTTACAAAAGAAGGGCTGCGTCACATCTTCTGTTGAAAAAGAGCATGAAGCGTTGTCAAACTCCAAAACCCACAAGCTGCAACATAAACTGTGCAGCAGGTGTACCGGTGTTGTGAATTCTGTCTGGTCATAGAAGGTAAAGGAGTACACTTGCACCGTTTAGACCATGTGACACTGTGGGTGGTGAGATAATGCCTGAATGTCTTTGTCATAAAATTGTGTTTATCATTCAACCTTCAAATCAATTGTCAGCCTTTCCTCAGATTCTCTTTGGATTATGTGGAAACTCAGATAAATCGCAGACTCCGCTGCACCGCATTCCAAAGAGCGGCCTAAATAAATGAAATTACTGCTTTTGTCGTAAAAGCCTTTCAAGTGAATCCTCATATGACCATTCTGTGCTTCTGACGATGCCACACTGGAGAGACAGATGTAGAGATGCAAAGAGCTGAATAGCAAGGACGTTCAGGTCTGCTCTGCGTTGCCAGGATACAGCTGTTGAAGACATGGGTACTGGTGTAAGTGTTGTGCACACACTGTGGCATTGGAAACACACAGCATAAGTTAAAAGAATGCAGTGTCTTTGTGGAGGTTTCTCTCTGTAGTCTGTACAGCAAAAAAGGAAATGTTGTCTGAATTCCTTTATTTCTTTTTGCTGGACTCTCAGAGTTAAATGAATGCAGCTCCTATAAAGCCTGAGGGGACAGTTGATGGATGAAGTCTGCTTTAGTAAAACAACCACATATGCTCACACTGTAATTATTTCCCCTGCAAATCCCAGAACAAGATCATCAGGTTCTGTAGGTTTTCCTCAGGTAGTACCCATCCCCATCCAAGTGCATGTTAACAACAAGATCCCCACAGATTTACAAACACGAAGAGGGAAAAAAAAGAAAGATGACGTACTAGATTGTTCCTGATTTTGTAAAAATTCTAGTTTTTTCAAGCGTGTGTTTGAAAATGGCTGTAAATTCCAAGACAAAGGAATTCCTTTATCTCAGAGAGCCACATATAGGTGATAGTGGTCATGCTCCTGCGGATGATGGACAAAAAGCATCCATCCTAAACTTTGATCTCATGTAATGTTTACAGAATTAGAAAAATGACAAGCTGATCAGCACACCCTGCGATATGTATATCATTTAAATGGTTGAAACATTTGTACAATATTTACATCCCACAATTTTATTGGGATGAGACTGGAGGTGGATGTACCCAAGTGTAGCTGTGGATGTTTGCGCACATTGTTTCCTACTGTACTGTTATTTTTTGGGTGTTTTGTGTTTATTTTGTTAGTGTTAGCGACTGATAACTGGAAACTCCAGGTGCTAAATAGCTTCCCGCCACAACCACCCACACCCACACCCTCCCACTCACACACACACACACACGCACACACACGCACACACACGCACAAAAACGCACACACACACGCACATACACACAATCCTTTGCCCTTGTCATCCAGCCGGTCTCCCATTGCTCGTCAGGCGTTCTAAGCTACAGGGCCTCTGACACTCCCTTTCTACCTGGGGAAAGCCAGGAACCAGACCAGCCTGTTTTCTCTTTTTCTCTCTCTTGTTTCCGTCCATCCATACATCCATCTCTCTAGGAGTTGAGTTGCTAAGTTACAAGGATGGCGCCCTTCCACACGTCCATTAGTGTTATCTCTCGCACAGCTAACCCTCTTAAGTCAACACATGTCCAGTGCAGATCAATCCCTCCTACCTCCGGTCAGTCCAGTACCTCCTGAAACTACAGCACAGCCTTTACAGTCCAGCTGAGTTTCGCTGAGGCTACTCATGCTCCAACCCTAAACCAGTTCAACTCCATCATGCAACCCAGGCCCAACCTAGGCAGGTTGAACATAGAAGCATGACTGTGGCTCTCCCAATATCTTGCCTCTCAGGATTACAATTATTTTTGTTTTTACAGAACTGACAATTAAGCAAGAGGAAGACACGGTGGAGGAAACTGACAACAGAAGCCCAGCACTTGAAGAAATAGGCCAAACAGGGGAGGAATTGGTCGTATTGGAGGAATCCATGACTGGCAGTCCGAGCAATGCCCAGGATGGATTGTCTGGACCCAATACAACGGCTGATTCAGGAAGTCGGCAACCAAATGGTACATATCTGTATATTTGTAAATGCCATTAAAAGCTTATTATGCTTTATAGAAGCTGTTTGGTATAATAGGCGCAATTAACATGCCACACAATTATTCTCTTTCTAACCATTAAAATCAGGGCGGTGTGTGTGTGTAATTTCCCCATTGAGTGAGTCACAAATCACCATGGGCGTGTTCTTTTTTGTTTTGTTTGGGTTTTTTTTGTTGAAAGACAATGGTTTAGACATGGAATTGTTATCAGGAAAAAGAAATCCTTGGAATCCCCCGCAACCTGTTCCAGCAGACGCCACTGCTCTGGTTGTCACAGCATTAGGATCACATTTCTCTTTTCCATCCGTCTGAAGATCGGAAGATTTGCTCTTACATCAGAAGACGTTTATTGCGTGCACTGAAGTACATCATTCCTAAAAAGGAAATCCACCTATACGTGCTCTGCAAGAGAGATAAACAACTGGCCATCTCCATTCATTATCAGGGAAATGTGTAGTCACTTTTTTCAGTGAGCAGTGAGAGGAAATGTGTCACTAGTGCTTCATATACTGTATCTGCAGTAAACCCATTTAATTTGATGTGCATATCTCCAGAATGAATTCACAAGTGGAGAGGATGCAAGTTTAGAAGAATCAAACATTTTAGTCTTAGTTTTTCATGATTTTCATCAGTATTCATCTACAGGAAGTTGCTGAAGGAGTCACATGAGGACAATCTGATAGACTGGATTTTTCATTTATCGTTGCCGCAGCAACAAGAACGGAAAAAAGAAGTTTAATCTACAAGTAAAAAAAACTCTTTGCTCGGCTGTTGATACTTTCTGAAAATCATCTTCCACGACGTGCAGTATTGACTTCCTGTGCCTGTCTCCATTAGGTGAGAGGCCATTCCAGTGCAAACAATGTGGTGTCTCGTTCACCCAGAAGGGAAACCTGCTGCGACACATCAAGCTGCACACGGGCGAAAAACCATTCAAATGCCCCTTCTGCAGCTACGCCTGCCGGCGGCGCGATGCCCTCACTGGTCATTTGCGCACTCATGCTGGTAAGACTCCTCTATGCCCTCTTATCCTCTCTTTTTTTTTATCACCCACTTCTTTTCCCCAGAGGAGGCTTCATTGATCAGACAAGCTTTAGAGATCAACCCATGATGCTTTTAATGCCTGGATATTTATTTTTAGAGATATTTGAGACGGACCCTTGCCAATTTTTTTTTTTTGCAAATAATTATGCCCACACTCTTCAATTCCTTTGTATCACCAGTCTGTCTGTGTCCTTTGGAAATCAAAGATCTCTAAAATATACCTACAGAGAGCCAAACCATGTTGCACCAGGAAGAATGTAGGCCCCAATGTTATAACAGTCCTTGTGTTAGAAGTAATTTTTCTATTTTTTATAAAAAGCAAACACTACAGGCTTGTTTCAGATATATCCTTCTAAAGCTGAGTGGGCTCGTGTATGAGCTACAACCATACATTCTGGTTGGCGACTCTCTGTTTATTGTTAGATCGATGCAGTGGTGTGTGTTATAGACGGTGCTGTGAGTGTTTTGTGGTTAGGTACCAAGGACATGCTGTTGCTTAGTTGCTTGAGTTGCTTAGGAGGAAACTATCAGTTGAGAAACATGAGGGGAGTGTTGCCTGTCTGTCTTAACTGTAACCCACTTTTCTAAATATCACAGAGGATGTGCTCTCCCCTCTGTGGCATCACTGAAATGAAGGTCAGGCCATAAAGTAATTTCTACTTGCGATGCCCCCATGGGGTTTAGTTTACTCATTCATATTAGTTCTCCCCATGTGTCAGGGTGCGTTGGATTTGTTTGTTTGGCCTCTTGCATGTCTGTAATCTCAAAAATTGTTTTCACACTTTGCTTAGCATACATTTTTTTCACAGCCGCCTGTCACCATCAACCACGACTATTTTCCCATTCTCACTTCCTTCATTGTACAGATGAACTTTTTTTTCCTACTGTTAAATCATTTGTATTAGTTACTCCTGTCATTCTCTGGTAATTGAGGACAGTGAGGAATCTGACTAATGCTAAGTACTGCTGTCCTGAGTACTGCCTGGTCTCTGGGTGATGCAAACCTGGCAGCTTTGGCTTGGTGCCCCGCCAGAAAGAGCAGGTGTTGCAGAAAGAGGGAAATAAAACATAAAAAGTGAGGTCAGGCGAGGAAAAGAAATATGCATGACAAGAGTGGGAGCTATGTGAAGAAAGGAACAGCAGAGCGAGTGTTGTGCCACAAGCCTGGTTAAACGTTGCTGCATGACACACATGGCACTTTGGTGGAATGACAATGCAGGAAAAATCGCAGCATCACAGGCAAATGATTTTGCATTTTGTAAGACAGAAGTAAAAAATTCAAGCCAGTTCCCGTATATTAGCCAAATACGATCAGTCAAGTGAGTGTGAGTGTGCGGTGTGGACGTTTGCATGAATAAGAATAGCAGAGGAGAGGAGGAGTCTTCAGGCCTATCTAACATCTGCACATGGCCGTGAATGTGTGTGCGTGTGTGTGTGTGTGTGTGTGTGTGTGTGTGTGTGTNTGTGTGTGTGTGTGTGTGTGTGTGTGTGTGTGTGTGAGAACAAGAAAGCAAGACTTGATTTAATGATGACATCACAGGTACATGTCAACTCTAACTTAAATAATATTGAAACCCTTTATCATAAGCCGCAACTTTTGTTTTAATCTGTCAGAAGACACAAGTGTGATTCATAGACCACACGAGAATGGAATGACACGTTTTCACAGACAAAAATGACTGATGGTGTCATTTGGTAACAAGTGGGTTAATTAAAACACAGTCCTGGAAAGACAATCAGATATTTACAGCTGGAATATTCTTGACTCCCTGAGTGGTTTTTTTCTTATTATTATCTTTAAGAAATGCAACATCCTCTTGTGTGAGAAACTCACATGCACATGTAAACTACCACCTCTACCTCGTATTGTGTGTGCGCCTGTGCTGTTATGTGTGTCACCATCTTCTTGCCTCAGACCGAAATGACAAGTTTTGGTTTTCTCTGTTCTCACAGTGTCAACAGCTCGTCAGCTCATCTTCTTCTAGTAATAACTGTCACAAATATCTCACTGCTGCACTATGCTCATCATTAGTAGGTTCAACCAGTTCACTCACTGCAGTCCCTTTCTGAGTCATTCCATTGGTTTTGAGTAGCTTGTATTCTACCACAGGACACAGTGTCAGCACTGTCTGTCTGGGTAAGATCAACTTAAATTCATTATGTGCAATAGATTGGTGATATCTTTGACCTTCATTTGACAATTATTTTCCTGTATCTGTTACAATAATGATAATGCTTCTATAAATAATAATGATGATGATACATTTTATTTATGTATTGCTTTTCAAAGAACTCAAAGATACTTTACATAGTATCATATTGTTGAGATCAGTCACTTGACAATCTCTGTGGGTATATGACTTTAAATAACCACCTCTCCGCTTCTTTTTTCATCTTTTAATAATTTTTGTTTTCACTCAATCCACTCCCACAGCGATCGTTTTGATAAGGCGATGAACTAGATGGAAGAATGGATGGGCTGAGGTAGATGTAAAGGATATGTCGTGTTATATATATTTCCACTTGTGTCGGTAGGAAGGAATTGAATAGAACAGAAATGGCACAATGAATCACACCCCACCTCCATAAAACTTATACACTGGAGTTGGGTTTCCTACCACCACCATGGGATGATCAACTCTGCTGTTCACTCATGTCGCTTTGCCCCAGCGGTGGGAGTCAGCCTTATGCTTCAGAGAGATTTAAGTGTCTGCTGACTTCTTTGTGCACCGGTCGCCCACAACTCTGTCTGGCAACAGTTGAGTGGAATCCTCACACTGTAGTAGTGGAACACCCATGATCTCAGAGGCTTCGCTTCTGGTTTGTTTGTACTATACTGACTGTTCACTACTAGGCACTGCACACGCAGTCAATGAGATTAATGTGCCCTCCCTTGAATGTCTTTTAGTTGGCAAACCGCACAAGTGTAACTACTGTGGGCGGAGTTACAAGCAGCGCACGTCTTTGGAGGAGCATAAAGAGCGATGCCACAGTTACCTGCAAGGTATCGGTCTGGATCCGACTGCCCACACCAGCCCTTACACAGGTAAATCATTCGACTAAATCTGAAACCATGGAGGAAATTACGGTGGTTTGAATGTGTAATGGAAACAGTAATGCAGTGCGATGGATTGCATCATCAGAGCTGCATCTCAGAGGAGAAAATAGTGTATGGTATTAGCATCTATCATTAATTATTATCAGTATATTGTAATTAATACAGTTGTATGATTTAATGGAGGCGGGATGAATAAACGAATGAAAACAGATTCAGATCAGAGACACCTAAATACATTGCTACTTTAATACATGTTTTTTTTCTTATTTACTACTTTTTTGTTTTTCAAGAGTTCTCAAATTATTGCTGTACAACTTTAATAATTTAACTTTAATTACCAAATTGCTCAAGGAATATGTGTGGCACACATATGAGGTCGAGGTAAATTCATGGGTGAATTGTTGGCCATGATTTTAAGAAATTATGAAAAAGCCCATTAAAATTTCCTTTTCTCTTTCTAATACCCTTCCCCTCTCAATCTGTCAAGGTGAGGTTCCTAAAGAGCCGAGGGCCATGGCAGAGGCAAACGCCATGGCAACCTTCGATAGGCCGCCAGTTATTGAGAGGCTGCATAGCAATGTGGGCAAGAGGAAGAGCACCACGCCCCAGAAGTTTGTGGGTGGGTATTTAGAACATAGACTGATAGACTTTTAACTTTTATCTTTAGTGTGGAGATGGACTCCATGAGAAGCAGATGAATGAGTATTAAGTCAGTTGAAAAAAAATAGTGGGGAGTCCTGCACTGATGGATTTCCATGCAAATCATAATTATGTTGTCAGGTCATGTCACATTATGATGAATTGTTTTTATATTTCAACTGAACTTAACTGACTGAGTAATGTGGGCTTGCAGGACTCTTATATGTTTTAGTTTAATTCTCACACAGCAATACCCCCTACTGCTGATTTTACTTTTTGCTAGTTGTCTGAAATACTAAGTTGACATATTCTTGGTTCATGTGTTTACATAGTTTCGTTCTTTTTTTTTTTTTTCTTTCCAAGTTTTATGTAATGCAAAACACATAATAAAACGCGGTGGCCCTGCCCTACTTATGAACACAGATTATTTTTTTCTGTGTTTGGTTTTATTTGCCACACTATTAGAGAAACAGCAAACTAGAGCAAACAGATGACTGAGAGGCAAGGAAATGTTTTTTTTCACTGTGGTTAGGCACACCTGTGGCTTTGCCATTGCTGTTATTGAGAGAAAACAGTTCACCGCATCCCTGTTCTGGAGGGGTTAAACAGTGCAGTGGTAGATGGATGGGGCTTTCCACCTCATGTGACTTGTACATACAGAACATCACGCACAAAAGTGTGAAAAACAAGCACTGAAATATCAGAAAGATGTCATTTTAAAGGCTAGAACATCATCTATTGCTCTTGTTTTCTTTCTTTAAATCTTTTACAGCATAAATTTTCATGTTTTAGTTTTTGTCTTAAAACTTGAAATTGGCATCATCATTTTAATTCCACACACTCTTTCATCCAGGTGAAAAGATGGTTCGCTACAGCTACCCTGATATAGGCTATGAGATGGGCATTAAGTATGAAAAGCAGGCTGAGCTGATACCAGCCCATATGATGGACCAGGCCATCAGCAATGCTATCACGTACCTAGGATCGGACAGCCTTCGGCCCATGCTCCACCATACAGGGCCCCCTCTCTCTATGGCTGAAGTGGTGCCCATGGTCAACCCCCTCTACCACCATGTCCTGCCATTGGGCCACCGTACAGAGCATCCAGGAAACTGTGATTCGCTGCCACCACATCCGCCTCAGTCCAATAACTTCCCCAGCCACCCCACCTCAAATGGCCCCACTTCTCTAACCAGGCAGGACAAGCCACCCCAGTCAGGGCACGAGGAATCACCCAGCAACAGCGGAGTCGACTCTGCAGACTCGGCTCGGAGCAGCCCTCAGGAGAGACAGGGCCACCATGGGGTCCATCCCCCTCCTGGCCTCAGGTCTCGAGTGAGTCCAGCGGTGATATGCTCAAGTGAGCGGGTGACGGAACCATCACTGAGAGCAGGGATGGGGACTGGGCTGATGCGAGTGGCCGCAGAGAGGCCCATGAGCCAGAGAGGGGTGAGGGTGTTTGCACGAGAGGGGCAGGAGCTGCGGGCCTTCCAGTGCAGGCACTGCCAGGTGCTGTTCCTGGACCATGTTATGTACACCATCCACATGGGTTGCCACGGTTACAGAGATCCACTGGAGTGCAACATCTGTGGGCACCGCAGCAAAGATCGCTACGAGTTCTCCTCTCACATCGTCCGTGGTGAACACACCTTCCAGTGAAAGCATGCGTGGGGATTAAGAGGAAGACAAAGAAGGGAATGGAGCAATAGCCTGATATCCATTCTTATCCCCAGACCTCTGAGACTGAACAGCTGAAGAGCACTGTATTCAAGTGTAGCACAATCAAAGACTTCTTTTTAAGCTACTTATTGTGAATCAGAACATTTTACAACAATCATATGAAGGTATGGGCCAAAGACACATTTTCTACATATTTAATTAATAATTAAATATAGAAGAAGGAAGGTAAGTTCATGTATTTTGTATAAAGCAGCTGTCAGATGACTATTTTTTTTCTTCTTCTTTGTCTAATTCGTCTTATTTGGAAATGTCTCCTTTTCTCCTTGTTCCTTCACCTTGTGGGCTTCATGTGGTGTATGAGATTAAAGTTTTAGTTCAGCACCAGTGAAGTGAGTTAAGTATAACAAGACTTCTAGTCTTAATTCTGAAAAAAACAAAAAAAACAAATACAATAAATAATAATAATAATGATTGAAGTTGTTATTATTATTATTATTGTTATTATTATGTTGAATACTTATTGTGGCATATTTTACAGCCTTTGTGTAGTTTCCTTTTTTGTCCATGACATCACTTTGGCCATCATGGTAATGTTTTCTCTTTAAACAATGATGTAATGGTATGGATATCTGGTGCTGTGTTTCTGAACTGCAAGCAGTTTGGTGACCAATGGACACGAATAGTTCAGAGAAATCTGAGGCATTAAGTGAAATGTATGAAAAGTGTTGGTACAAGTAGCAAATGAATAACACAAACAAAAACTAGTTTTACATACTAATTTGTTAACAGTATATGGTAATCATACATGCAGTTTCCCATTGCAACATGCATATTTGATTTAATTTTTAAGCTGAAGTTAGGAAAGCCACAACTACCTCTCAGCAACCACTTTGAGATTTGCAGATGACGTGAGAGCCTGCATTGATCATATTTTACATATTGACTTTTTTGTACATTAGGGTTTTTTTCAATCACAATTCAAGCAAGTTTTTTAGTCAACCAATTAATTTTTGACTTTCACCGGCTGGTACAAAACCTTTTTGTGCCACTAATATCAACCTCGACTTTAGAAAAAAGGCTTTATCTCATGGAAATGATTTAGATTTTGTGTGTTGAGTTGAATGTACTCAAATACAATATACAATTTTCTAAATAAATCCAAGATTTTAAAAATGTATGTAAATTAATTTAAATATTTTGACGAGCTTCTGCATAACAAGCATTTCAAATGCAGACATTTTAGGTTGCATAAACTTACTTTCAGTTAGTAAGGCTAACTTGCTAACCGTTACAAGTTTAATGAACTTAACATTATATAATCTGACAAAGTTACAGAATGTAAATTCTTATATTTGTAAATCTTTTCTTTTTTTTTTTTAATTAGACAAAATTTTGTTGTATTATGACTTATTTCTCTCCAATGTATTCGGTTTGCACTTAAAAGTTTGAATTGTTGATGAAGAAGCAAAATCCCATTGAAAGGATAGAACACAAAGTGTAGCCTCATGGTTCTTGACCTTGAATCGTGATAACTTGTGGGCTGTGTTGCTTGCAGCGTTAGGATACAGCTTAATCGTTTAACTTTGAGTATCACAGTTTGTTTGATAGTGGCAGACTTCCACATTGTCAGCCGGGGTGGTAAAGTAACAGTTTTACTTTAATAACTTTAAGATGGTTTATCTCACTTTATGCCATAAGTCTGTCTCTTTAATGTTGTCCACTTTGTTTTAAGTTGAACTGGTTTGTGTGTGTATAAGTGTTGTGGCTCTTTTTGCAGGGTATTGGGTATCGAAATATCTGCTTATATCTGTGGTTTCAATGCCATCTGTCATCCTATTTGTACCTCATGACAAATACAGCAAAACATCACAGAAATACTTTGTCCTTGGCACCTTAAGATTCTGCCTTGAACAGCTTAAAATGAAGCTTAACGCTTATAATGTAGTCGGAAGTGAGGGAATTCTTCATGTGAATTTGCCTGACGCTGGTTTTAATATCAACATGATCTTGTTTGGCTGCTCATTCACTGCTCGTCACACACGCTAATGCCTTTAACTTTTCCTCACTCTGAATCTTGCTCTTTGCTCTGACGTAATGCTGCCATATTACTGTTCGAACTTTAACAGGCACCATGATAGAGAGTTAATGTGAGTTACCACATAGTTCTATTCTAAAGGCACTTCCAAAAACTGGTAGCATTCCTAGTCACCTCTGTGAACCTGCTTCAGCATTAAAAGCTTGTGCATGTAACACATTAATGGTGAGTGCGGGATTTTAATCACCAAATCTATTGTCAATCGGCTGCTGTATGTTGAAGTATTCAGATTTTGATCACAGGGTGAGTTGCAGCTCCTCCATAGTTACCGGCTCTGCTTGTGAAAGGACTCGGACGTGGCTGTGCTTTGTACAGTAGACTATGCACTTTAAGTCTGTACACTGCTTTGAGGCAGCATTGTCTGTAAGTTGTTACATTAAAGTGTAGGTTGAGTGGAAAACCCTCCCTGACAGAATAAAGCTCCTTTGTTATAAATGAACAATATCGAGAGAAATAAGGAAATAAGACTCCACAGAGGCTTTGCTTTGCTGTCTGCTGGACATGTTGTCTTTGGAGCTCAGTGATCTACTTGTCCATGTTCAATATGTACTTTTGATCAAAAGGCAGCTTTTTCTCTGTTTACATATTGCTTCTCTTTTGCGCAAATGATGCCCAGCTGGCATAAAATACGTGCTGCCTGTATCGGCACTGGAAATTGTTTACAACTCGCAGCTGTAATATTGACTCTATACATTCGTCTACTATA